TTATAAAAGTCAACGGAAAGTTGACTTTTATAAGTCGACTTCTAGTCGACTTCTAAAAATGGCGAAAAGTCGACTTTTAGTCGACTTCTAAAAATGGCGGAATGTCGACTAAAAATCGACTTCTAAATAGTCGACTTATAAAAGTCAATTTTCCGTCGACTTTTATAAGTCGACTTCTAGTCGACTTCTAAAAATGGCGGAAAGTTGACTAAAAGTCGACTTCTGAATAGTCGACTATAAAAAGACGGAAAGCAGTCAAGCGGCGCGTCATCAATATGGCGGCGAATCTCGAGGAGGCTGGAGGAGAAAATTAATGTTTACGCGAGTGCAAGGAATACATGTCGCGAGACAGGACACGATAAGACGTCGAAAAGCGCCGCGCTATCAACCACCGCCACGAAACGTCGTCGTCGTCGTCATCATTGTCTTCCCGTTGACTTCCTCGATTAGATCAGAATACTGGAATTTGACTGTATGTATGTTGCAATATGTTTGAGACGGTTGTCTACGTTGTCTACAACAAGAATTGTTACAGAATGCCGTTACCAACCGACATGGAAGCAAAATTGCTGCGCCAGATAGTTCTTGCAGGTATGGCGGATCTAAAAGAGGATCAGGATAAGGCCAAGTGGAAATATGCTTTAGAGGTTAGGTATGGTGTGTTATTAATTATCATCGATAATTAAGACCTATTGAATGCGACCTCTCTATTCTGAACCATCTTTCAGAACACCATCAGAAATGGAGGAACCTGGTTCATGCATTCTTCGTGCGTTCTACGGAAAATCAGTCCGGAATAGGTGGTTTATAAAGAGGTGTACGAAACGAATAAGATGTATATGCGAGGTGTCACGGCGATAGAACCCGAATGATTGCCGAAATTCGCTTCCACGCTATGCCATCTTAGCCTGAGTTCCGATATTCGCTGCAAGTACTGAAAATCTATAGTTTACGTGACGTACATTATAGTTTTTCAGTACTGACAGTGAATATCGGAACGTAGCCTTAGTGAATCATTGGTTGATCCACCGCCAAGGTATTTTTATCACAATTGTTGCTTTATAATGTTTTCCCTATTTATTTATAAAGATATTAATCTTCATTATGATCGAATATTATTCTCATTTATAGATATAATCAAGGAACCGGGAAGATCATTTGCCGCGTGTCTGGTACATTTGGAAAGGCCGGATGGGGACTACCATCGATGGATATAGAGCATCTGTGGACGGTGTAAAGTGGTTCGCGTATTTCTTCTTGGGGTGCGTTCAGATTCCCCACCTGGTAGGTGATCGCTGGGTGACCGGGTGAGTGGGCGGAGCTACCGAGAAGCTCCCGAGTGGTTTATGGAATTTGAACGCACTCGACGCGCTCTATCTCTATTCTCTCGTCACTACCGGTACAAAATTGTATCCCTTCTCACGTAAGTTAACCTCATTTCTACATGTATAAGGGCAAAAGCACATATGACAGTCGTAGTCGTGGACGTAAGTAACGCACAAGCTTTGGCGTATCCTGATCTGTCAGGTCGGGGTCTACGACCGTCGTATATCGCTACGCCATGTTATGTGCTTTGGCCCTAAAGCCGATTACAATAGCGTAAACGTAGTCGTAAGTGGTTTGTAAC